TTGAAGGTACCTTGTAAGCTATCAGAGGAGGAGGGTAATCAATCCTCAGTCTCTCCCAGCTACAATCCCTGCAACCTTCTACAATGGCCCGGCTGCAAAATATATTGGTTCAAGACTGGCCCAATTGTTTCAGGAGTAAACCACCACTTTCTGACTGGCTTTAAGGGCAACTGTGTGAAATAGAACCCATACCTGAGACTATAAAAGTGACCAAGATCCTGAGTCTAAATAGGCCATAGGCCTGGGGGGAAAACCTAAAACTATTATTCTGCTAAAAGAACATAGCAGAGGGCTGGAGAGATGGCTCAGCATTTAAGAGCACTGAGTGCTGTTCCAGAGGTCCTGAGTTCAATTCCCAGCAACCATCTGTAATGGAATCTGATTCCCTCTTCTGGTGTGCATGAAAACAAAGTATATGTTCATACACATACAATAGATAAATAAATCTTAAAAAAAAGAACATAGCAGAAAAGTGATTTCTAATGACAAATTGGTATACCCATAGATCAGTGCTTCCATTAGCTTTCATCAGAAAAGCATGCAGCAAACGGAAATGAACACAGAGATCCACACTGAACAATGTGAAGAAAGTGAAAAATCTTTGGAGTACTCAGTCCTAAACAAGATGTCTTCTTCATCTCATCTCTCCACTTCCATTCAGGGATCCATGTGGAAGAGGAGGTGGAAAGACTGTAAGAGCCAGAGGAGATGGATGGCTACAAGGAAATAGCATCTTCCAGACACACCAGGACAGGTGCACATAGGAGCTCACAGAGACCTTGGTGACAGGCACTGGTTCAAGCCAGACAGGGTCCCAGCAATAAGAGGGAGAAGTAAACGTGGGTTCCCACCCATATCTATCTGCAATTAATACCTGCTGGCAAAGGAAAAATCAGTTTTCTTCAGTGAAGTCTCACTGGGTATATTCACCACACACCTCTGAGCAGGCCCCATGCTCTGGAGTAATTGACTGAAATAAGATTAACTCAATGGTATTTTTGTAGATGTTTTATCAATTTTGCTTTGTTTGGGCATGGCTTTTTGTTTGTTTTTTGTCTTATTGTTCTTTTGTTCATTTTGATTTTTGTTTTTGTGTTTTTATGAATGTATGTGTTATATTGGGTTTTGTTGTCTTTTTTTGACAGAGAGAACATAAAGTTGGGTGGATAGGGAAGTGAGGAGGATCTCAGAGGAATGGGGGGGGGGTTACCAAAAAACATTGTATGAAATTTTTTTCTCAATTAAAAAGTTTCCAAAAAAGTGAAGCCGAAATGTAGACTTGCTGAGCGTGTGGGACAGAAACACAGACCGGTGCTCAATTCCATCCCTGCTCAGCTATCAAGTGGCCAGGTGACACACAGCCGAAAAGATCAGTCAGTATCTTCATCTGCAGAACCAGGAAGCAATTGACCACTGCATGGTCTGTGCTTTGTCTTTCCTGCCCTGAACACTCACAACTGAATTCCAGGGGCTTGGGGATAGGAACCTTCAAGCTTTCTTGGCAGAGCTAGTTTCGAGCGGTTTTCTGTTCCTGCATCATGAGGCAGCCTGGGGTTACGGGGAGAGTTCTCTGAGGCATATATTAAGAATGAGGGCTGGAAAAGAGTCAGGTTTGATCCTAGTTTCCATCACTTCATAAGCAGTGTGACCTTATGATAAAGCACTTTTTGATTTTGTTATTAACCACCATTGCAGTACTGAGGACAGAACCCAAGACTGTGTGCTTGCTAGGCCGATCACCCCCCACCCCCTTTTGGGTTTTATTGTTTGAGACAGGCTCTTGCTATATAGCCCAAGTTAGCCTTGAACCTTTGATCCCACTACCTTAGCATTTATAATTTTAAGCCCATTTCTACATTTGCAAAGCTCAGGTTGACTACCTCCACCCTAACTCTACTTTAACCCCAGCCAAGTTGCTGGGGACTAGAGGAATGAGTGTAGACTGAGCCTAGAATGCACTCCATAGACAATTCTGTTGCTATTTTTTGTGTTTGACTCAAACACATCTCCAGCACACCCTAAGTTCCTGCTTTCTTCCTCTTGTGCCTGCCAGGTGACCTGACCTTGTACAGCTTGTATAGCTTCTTGGGCAATAGGAATGTACCCTTTATTCATTTATTTTATTTTTCTTTCCTTCCTTTTTCTTTTACCCACCTATCTATAGCATTTCACTATGTATCACTGGCTGTCCTGGAATTTGCTATGTAAGCCAGGATGGCCTCAAATTCAGAGATCTGTGTGCACTACACCCAGATGTCCTTATTTTAATCCAGATCTCACCGCCTTCTTCCTGAAATACCACATTTTTTTTTTCTTGTGCTAGGGTTTGAACTTCTGAAGGCTTTGAGGATGCCAGTCAAGTGCTGTTTTACTAAGCTGTTGTTGAAGGGATATTAGACTCTAAAGGGCTTCTCTACCCTAGCTAGTTTCCAAATAATTGAGGCAGAGACCCTTTGGATTAATAAAAGCTTTAAAGAACAGTAACTGGGCAGGTATCAACCCTTTACGCTATCTCGCTATTTCCTAGCTACACACCCCAAGTTACCTGCCATAATTGTTCCTGCCTGGGCTGCTCTGTTCTATCAGCCAGTCCTCATGGCCATACTATATTATGGTGACTTCCTTCTCTCTGGCTCCCTCCCAACCCCTAAGCTGTGGTACCTCTCTGACCCCAACCTAAGTGCTGCCTACTTCTCTTCTGTCCAGTTACAGGCTTCTCCCTATTTTATTAACCAATTAACTTTAAGTTAGGTAGAGCAAAGTTTACACAACACAGACAGGTGAGAATGCACTTGTCTAGGTGGCAACCAGATCTTGGAGGCCAAAAATTAGCATCAGAACACACAGCACAGGCTGGCGAGATGGCTCAGAGGTTAACATCATCTGTTCTTCTAAGGGTTCTGGGTTCGATTCCAAGTACCCACATGTCAGCTCACAACTGTCTGTAACTCCAGTTCCAAGCAGGCTGACACTCACACCAATGCACATTAAGTTAAATAAATTTAAAAAAAGAATACATTGCACCTGACCAAACCCCAACAGAGCTACATAACCCTCATTTTGTTGTTCTTGTGTCTTTTTTGGAGACAGAGTTTTTCTGTGTAGCCTTGGCTGTCCTGGACTCACTTTGTAGACCAGGTTGGCCTCAAACTCACAGCAATCCGCCTGCTGAGATTAAAGGTGTATACCACCACGATCAGCTGGTCCTCCCCCTCCTCCAATGGCAGGGTCTCACTGCATAGCCCTGGCTGGCCTTGAGCCCCCAATCTTGCCTCTGCCTCTGAAGGGTGGCATTAAAGGCTCTGTTCTTAACTGAATTTGCCAACTTCTATCCCAAGAACCATCTTTATAGAGGTATCTTTGTCATCCCCCCTGCTCAGTAGGGTCTTATACTCCTAAATCCATTCTTTATATGCAGTTAGACTCCATCTCCTAACCCCTTCAATTCCCTGTGGTCCCAGTCACTGTTACCTCAGGTTCAGGTGCAACATTTTTTTTTCCCTAAGACAGAGTTTCTCTGTGTAGCCCTGGCTGTCCTGGAACTTGCTCTGTAGACTGGGCTGGCCTGGAACTCCAAGATCTGCCTGTCTTTGCCTTCCAAGTGCTGGGATTAAAGGTGTGCACCATGACCACCCAGCTTGCAACTCCTTTCTTATTCTGCATGTACACATGGCCCCTTTGTGCCCACACATGGGTTGCATCCCATGCTCTGCCTGTCTAGGCTAATAAGGTTTTGAGTGCTCCATCTCGCCTTCTTGTAGGTTCCAGATGATATCAATCGTGTTACACTTTTTTTTTGTAACATTTTTTATTAATTATTCACTTCGTATCCCCCCTATGGTTCCCTCCTTTCCTCCCCCCTCCGCACGCATGCCCCTCCCCAAGTCCACTGATAGAGGGGAGGTCTTCTTTTCCTTCTGATCCTAGTCAATCAGGTCTCATCAGGAGTGGCTCATTGTCTTCTTCTGTGGCCTGGTAATGCTGCTTCCCATGTTACACTTTTTAACTGTCTCCCCTCCTGGCCCAGTTGACATTCTACACTGGCCCCAACGGTATCAGGCTCAACTGCCCAATCTCAGCTTAAGTACAGTGGCTGGCAACTTGGAAGGAAAGCACTTAATCAAGAGACAATGGGTTTCTACTGATGATGGTTGATGGTCCTTCTCCGAGGGCCACCCTCCTCTGCATTGGCATCAGTGGTCTGTGTACCCCCAAGAAGGTCCCTCATCTAGTCAATCCTGTCAATTCTATGCTTTTTAAATTTATTTATTTAATATGGTGTTCTGCTTGCCTGTGTGTGTGTGGTGTGAGGGTGTCAGACCCCCTGGAACTGGAATTACAGACAGCTGTGAGCTGCCAGGTGGGTGCTGGGATTTGAATTTGGGTCCTTTGGAAGAACCACCAATGCTCTTAACCGCTGAGCCATCTCTCCAGGCCCAGTTCTATGTTCTTAATAAATACTTTCTGAATCTGTTCCATTTCCTTAACCTCCTGCCAGACAGCCTCTTCAGAGCTCATGCATCAGCTCTTCATAAACTCTTGCTACATCTACTCTGTGTGTGTATGTGTGTACACATGCCAGTGTGTACACATGCAGAGGTCAAAGGATGACACTAAGTGTCGTCTTCTATTGCTGTCCACTTATTTTGGGGGGAATAAAAAATTCGAACCTGGAGCTGCTAACTAGCGAGGCTGGCTGCCTAGCAAGCTCCTGTATATTCCTGATTCTATCCTCATTGCGGGATTATAGGAACAAACCAACACACCCAGCTTTTTGTGTGGGTTCTGGGGATCTGAACTCAGGTCCTCATGCTTGCACACACTATCATTGAGCCATCTCTCTTCTCTTCTCCTCCCCTTCTTCCAGTGGTACTGGAGATTGAATGTAGAGCCTCACACATACTAGGCAAGAGCATATAGCCTTAACCCCTACACTTACTCTTTTCAATCCTCTAGAATTCTATAAAAACTATTTTTTGCAAAGGACTACATCTCACAACTGCCTTCATAAGATTTTTTATTATTTAGAAATGCAATTATATACATAGAACAATTAAAATTAAATTAAACTTTGTACAAATATTAAAATACTATCTTCATACCCACTGCAATGTACAGGATACCAAAAAATATATATATAAAATAAAATAAAGCAAACCCAGATTGATTGACATCCTGCACAGTCAATTATGCATGTGTTGTTTTAAACCATTTTTGAGTACCATTCTGCAAAGGATCCCATAGTGGTGTGCAGCCTTAGGAAGCCAGGCCAGTGTGGATACAGCCATGCAGCCCTCAACCATTTCCTCTCCCTACTTGGCAATCCAAGAACTTTGCTATTAGGAGAGGGTTGGGTGAGTAGGTCGGGCTTTGTTCAAAACTCTACTAGGTTTTCAACTGGGAATTAAGTCACATCTCAGAAAAACTGGCCCTGCCACCTTTGGCTTTCCAGGGCACCAGCTACCACATCATTCAGCCTAAACATCTGCCAAGAAAAATATTCTCTAAGACTGCAGAAGATCCAGCAGGCCCCACAAGAGGAGGCTCCAGCCATACTGTCAGGTGCAAGCATACCTGGAATTAAGCTGTGTAGTAGACATGCTGTGTGTCCCTTCTAGCTCCCCTCACCCCTTGCTCTTTAAGGAGAGGGAAGGGAGCAAGGATCTAGAAATGTTTGCAGCATATTCCATTTTCTATGCTAGAATGTTCCTCAGGAACAGAGGAGACGTTGTTATGTAGGAAGCCAAGTGGTTCAAGAGCTCTGGTGAGACTGGGAGGAAAAGGCCAACTGCTATCTATCCCCATTTGGCCATTCACAAAGCAGGAAAAATATACCTTTGTCTTGCAGCCTGGCTTCTCTACAGAACTGTAAAGCTGGGGGTGGGGGAAGGAGGGCAAGATGAATGGGGAAGACAATATTACGTTAAATTCTCTTTGCAAATGGAGTGCTTGTAGAATGTACATTGAAATGCCTTATAAAACCAAACAAACCCACAAAGTGGTCAAGACTCCATCCATTTCACAGTTCTCACACAGTGAAACACACACAAAATACAGAACTGGACAGATAGAGCTTACCTGTTAAACTAAGGCATGGAGGGACGGAATTTTCTATTTATTTATGTATTTCACTATTCTGGCCCTTGAAAATTGATAGACTGTGACAGCAAGTCACCAGGATATAAAACCTGCATTGAATTAGCAGAAGTATGAAAAAGCAAAAACATCTCCCAAACCAAAAAACCCTGTGTGAAAGTCCTTTGGTGCTGACTGCCTCTTTTGGACAAGTCTCAGGATGCCCCTGGAGGTGAGCCCAGGAAAGTAGGTTGTGTATCTTCTTCCCACTTGCTCAAAGCTTCTTCCTGCCCAAGAGCCTGCCACCTGCCACTGACCCTGTTTCTAGCCAGGCTCCACTTCAAGGCGATTAAGTCCCCCAGTCCCTCTGTAATGGACAAAGTCCAGATGCCTCAGAAATCACAGCACATGGCTGATGGTTAAGAAATTGCTTTAGAAGAAAGAGAGGAATGCAGGAAGAAGTCACAGGTGCCAGCGGCAGTACGTGGGAAACCTCAAGAACAGACCTCAAAGCCAGTGATAGGAGGATGGGGAACATGGCCCTTTTACTCTCTGGGCTGTGATCCCCAGAGAGGGCTATGGATGGTAAGAGGGAAGGAGGCCCCAGGAGGTTCTTTTACCCAAGGCTCAAGCCAGTTGCCCACAAGGCTAAATAAACCCAAAACAAAAAGTGCAATCTGAAAAGGGCAAAAACCCAGAGTACAGACACAGAAAAGGGAAGGATGTTCCATTTTGAAACTTCTAGAACAGAATTCAGATTTTAGAAAAGCAGTAAGCAAGAAAGGAAGGCTCATTCAGAAGACTCCTGCTCCTTGCCCAGTTCTCCCTTGAAGAGACTGGGCACTACTGAGGGTGAAAGAGAGCCATGGTGAAGTAGCTTAGGGCCTTGGAACCCACTCCCCAGGAGAGTCTGTGACAGTGACTGCAAGGTGTGTACTGTCTCCATCAGGCTTCAGTCTTCTAGCCCATTCCTCAGCCAACCATACTTGTCTGGACGTTGAGCACAACAGACTAGCCTTCTGGTTTAGTGTGGGAATGGCCAGCAGGGACAGCAAGCACTGCCCTTACCCTGAGAGGAAAGGAGATGGGGGTGGCAGGAAACCAGGCATGACAGGGACTAAAGTGCATTGTGAGTGGAGGCAGTGGGCAGTGAGCTAGAAGTTATTCCTCAATTTTTGAGGACACTGATGCCTGGAGCTAACCGTCTTGGGTCATGAACTATAAATACACTGGGCTTTTATTATTTTTACCACCCCACAGAGGCTCATCACAGGTTCAGTCTAGGATTGGCTCTGTCTGAAGTTTCCCAGGCTTGAGGCTTGAGGCAAAGCAAGGAAAAAGGAAAAAAAAAAAAAAAAGCACACATTCCTTAATGCCACATCTGTCTTCTCAAGATGATAGAAGCCTGGTGGGGCTCAGCTACCCAGGCTTGTCAGCATTCAGTGCAGGGCCATAGTGGGGCCCAGCAAACAGCTCTAACACTCCTTCAGTGCCAGCACTTTTCCATTCCCAAGGCCTACCTCTCAAGTTTCTCGGTTCCCTTCAATCCACATCAGCTGGCAGGGATGATAAAGAGTAGCTCGTCAGCAACATGTGGAAGGGCATGGAGAAGAGACCAGAGTAGGAGAAGCAGCGGCACAGCAGGCCACTTCCTGGGCATAGTTACTAAGGCACATGACTGTGGTGAGGAGGATCCTCAGGACCTGGCCGGAGCTGCCTGCAGCAACCGGGGACTTGGTCTGTACCTCTCAGCCTCCCCTCCATCACCACAAACCTAAAAATGGGTACCTTGCCCAGACTGCCAAAACCCAGATGAGCTTTCGTTGGCATCTCAGCAAATCTCAGGGTTCTGTGGGCTGCACGGAAGCCAGAGCTACCTAGGACGAAGTCCAGGAGACAGCATGCAACTTCCCCTTATCCAGGAACAGAAACTAAGGCCAAGGAAGCCAGTGCTGGGAGCCGGAAGTGAGAACTTGCATATTAGGAAGACAATCATTATCTGACATCTTTCTTCCCTCCCACAGATCTTCTGGGTGCTTCTTGGAAACTCTCAGCAGAGCCAGGAATGTGCACCAGAGCTGGACAGCTAAGTGCTGGGCGGCTTTGGCATGACTTCCAAACCTTCTATTCCCAGTCAAGGAAGATGCCATCAGTGTTAACACACAGAGTAAGCTCAGGGACCCACATTCTGGACCCAACAAGAGCCACTCCTGCTTTGAGGGCCTTACTCTTCAATCTGTTTCTGGAGCCTCAGGCCCAGCCCCATGTACAGGTGGCAATAGCCACTAAGGCCTGTGGACAGCAACCCACCTGCACAACAAGGAACCTGACAGTGTGGGGAAGGCACAAGTAAACACAGCAGTGCTCAGGCCCTCATGCTGTGGGGCTGCCACCAGAGAGCTGTCTGGAAGGGACCCAGAGGCTCAGGGAAAGGGAGGGTTCAATCCAGCACATTCAGACATGTCCCTGACAGACGGGAAGGCTGGGCCAGGCAAAGAGCCAGGTCCTCCAGCTGTCCAGTGGGCAAATGGTGAGAATCTTCCTTGAGTATCCAGCCAGGTGGCCTGCTGGCCCTCAGGTACACACAGATACACAGCTCAGGCATCCAGGTGGGGCAGCTGGAGAGGACATGGTACTCAAACCCACAGGAAGAGAGAGGATGGGCAGAGAGGAGAGAGGCCAGTGGCAGCCCTCATGCTTCTTTCAACAGGGGTATATCTGCAGAAAAACAAAAAGGGAAGTACAGCAGTTACCTAAAGGTGTCCCTCAGTATCACTCCCAGCTCCATCTCAGGGACCCCAACATAGCCCTCACTTAAAGAAATAAATTGTCCTGCTGTACATGTCTAAGCCAGTCAAAATTTCCTGCTTTCTATTTCTGGCCTTTCTGCTTCCACCCTCCCATTGCCTGTATGATAAAATCTCAAAGCTGAGCCTGGCATTCAAACACTTTCCAGTCCCACCAATACAACCCTGCCTCCTTTCTCTGATGGTCTAGTTATTTTCAGTTCTTCTCTAACCTTGCTCTAAGATGCCACCTGCCATGTGTGTGGCCCTGAACAGATTACTTTGTCTCTCTGGGTTCTGGTCTTCTCCTGTGTCAGCAGAGGAAAGAAGTGTTAGGTCATACTCAAGCTCTTGAATTCCTAGGACACCAGGTTAACAACATAGGTGCCCTGTTTTCTGAATATCTCATTATGGCAAGAGCTCTTCAATTTTTATTTCATTCTTGTACCTTTTTTTTTTTTGGTGGTGGTGGTGGTTCAAGACAGGGTTTTCTGTGTATTAGCCCTGGATATCCTGGAATCACTCTGTAGACCAGGCTAGCCTCAAACTAGCAGAGATATGCCTGTTTCTGCTTCCTGAGTGCTGGGATTAAAGGCATGCACTACCACACTCAGCTTTATTATTGTACTCTGAAGAACTATTACTTTATTAATTTCTTCTAACGTGTGTGCATTCATGTGTGTCTGTCTGTCTGGCCACATACTATAGGAAATATGTGATGATAGGCATCTGTACCTGCAGGTCAAGAACAACTTTTGGAAGTCAGTTGTCTCATTCTACTATATGGGTCCTGGGAATTAAATTCAGATCATCAGGGTTGGGAGCAAGTGCCTTTACCTGCCAAGTCATCTTGCTGGCCTCATTTATTTTAGAGATAAGGTCTATGTAGTTCAAACTAACCTGGACTCACGGTCCTCTTGTCTTAGTCTCTGAAGTACTAAGACTGCAGGCTTAAGGCACCTTATCAAGCTAGTCCTACAATTAGTGGTTCCATTATTTCTTCAGTGCAGGCCCCACTGATTTTTCCAACTGATACTCCATGCAGCAGAGTGTGTTTCCTATTTGAGTCAGATCTGAAACCTCATTTGGCACCAAACACTAGATGTGGCTTTCAAAAAGGTTTGCTCAAGCCAGGTATGATGGCACATACGTTTATTTCTATCAGGCTACTTTTAATTGGAGATAGAAGCAGGCCAGTCTCTGGGGGTTTGAGGCTAGCCAGATCTACATAGTGAGATTGAGGCTAACCATGGCTACATAGTGAGATCCTGTCTTTGAAAAGAAAAGCTTGTTTAAACAGTGCCATGGCAGACACCTGTGATCAGCCACTTGGAAGGCTGGGGCAAGAAGGATAATAGTTTCTAAGCCATCTTGGGCTATGCAGGGGCCCTGTCTCTGAAAATAACAATAAAAAAAAAGTCTCCAAACAAACAAAAAAACCTTGTTTATTACACAAACAAGTAGCCATTAAGGAAGAGCAAGGGAACCTCCTTGGCTCTTGAGGAAGGATAACAGAAGCCATGTGCCCTTAGCCACATCTCATAAAATATGTGCTTGAGGGTTGAGGTCACTTACTGCCACATCCAAACCGGGTCAGTTACTTACAGGGCCCTTGCCATCTCTTTCCAACAAAGAGAAAAGGAGACAAGCTACTGATAGATACATTTTGAAGTGTTAGACATGGATTCTATCCAGGACATAAGAAATCGAGAAGCTCCCCCTGGGACTCTTTCAGAAAAACATTATGAAGGCAGAAGGTGTTACTATCAACACAGAGCTTCTAGGTTTTGTCTGAATCCTGAACTACACTGAGGTTTCACCTACAGATAATCTTTTAAAGTGACAGACTCATATTATAGTTAAGCTCTACAGGCTCCAGCAAAGGCAGACTGTCAGCAGGCAACCACTGCACTTTATGGCCAGTGTGCCAAAAAGGAACTAGAGTTACCTGGGAGCCAATGTGGTACTGTGAGGTTAACAATGCTGGTTTAGAGCCAGTCATTTACTATTAAATCTCATCTGTCAATTACTGGTGGATATATGATGAAACTGGGTCCCATTTTCTCCATTTGTAAAATGGGGACAGTCACTCACTGTCAAGCTTAATTGAGATGGACAGCACAAGGAAACCATCAATATACTCCTGTGTAGAATGAAGCAGATGTCTTCTCTGTAAGACAAGCAGACTACTGTTTTCTCAGCAGTACAACCCAAGGTTTCCTTGTTATTTTCTGCCTTTTGTGAACACAAAACTTTTTCATAGTCCTATGGCCTTAATCCCATCCAGTTGGTTTAGTAGAGCATATGGCTGTGAATAATCTTAGACTCTAGAGACATCAAAATTCACAGGTAACAATGAAGAGAACCCAAAGCCTATCTGGCACTCTGAGGTCATACTTTGTAGGCTAATGGCTCTGGCAATTAATTTTTTTTTTTTTTCTGAAAATACACTAATCATTAGAGTGACCCATGGGGCTTCCTCATTCCCAGAAAGGATTCCAACAGCTAGTAATTCATGTTTAGCAAAGACTACTTACCGTCTGTATACTCTTCTGATGTGAGGGATAAAAGGCTTTGTATGTCACTGTTCTCTGAATCTGCAGTGTCTTTGTGTATTAGCCGGCTGCTCCCAGAGCCGGCCACCCAGGAAGATGTGGTTGCCTGGTGCACCATCACAGTCTCTGAGCTCTGGGAACCCCAGGCTTCACACAGCCCGGAATGGCCTGGAGCCTCATCCTCTCCACCTGCAGAGGAGCAGGCCCCTTGGTCCTGCAGCTGCTGCTCCCTTGGCATGCTCCTCCCACTAGGTGCAGACCCTTCTGACAGAACAATCTGTACTCTAGGGTCAGCTGGTGGCATGCAGTGACCAGAACTGCCATATACAGCTTCCTCATATGAAGGCAGTGCAACTTGGACCCCATCCACCATGATGGAGACTTGGTCCCCAGAGACCCCCTGGTCACGCCTGGATCAGAAAAGAAAAAGACAAAAGAAGAATCAGAGTAACATAGAGGTGAATAAATGACATTGTACCAACAAAGCCCATCATTTTCCAGCACACTGGATCCTCTCCTGAGCCCTGCCAGCTAGGGATTCACCAAGTATGCAGGCTTGGCTCAGAGAAGCTAAGTAACTGCTTGGCAGGCAGAGAGCTGGTAAGGGATGGGCCTGGGACTGAATCCAGTTATACACTCTTCTAAAGACCGTGTTCTTGGGTCCAGAAAGGATGGCTCAATGGTTAAGAGCACTGACTGCTCTTCTAAAGGACCTGAGGTTTGATTCCCATCTGTACCCACATGGCAGTACGCTACCACCTGTAACTCCAGTTCCAAGGAATCCGATACCCTCTTCTAAGCCTCTGTGTGGTAGAGGCATACATATCACGCACAGACATACATGTAGGCAAAACACCCATACATATAAGTAAAAAAGAAGTACATCCTGTTGGGCTTGCTGGTGCATGCTTTTAATCCCAGAATGTGGGAGGCAGATGTAAGAAGATCTCTATGAATTTGGGACCAGCCTGGTCTACATAAGGAGAATGTGTCCTTAAAAAATAAATTACATACAAGTTTTAGTGTAAATGCAGGAAAGAGCAAGTGGCAAAGTCTACATACAGGCCCCTTCATGATCCAAAGGCACATTACTACTGAGGTCAGGAACTGTACCCCAGATACTCAGTTCCCATTCCAGTTGTTCCCACTTCCTCACTACCACAAGGACCCCACCACCATCCTGACTTGCATGGAAACCACTTCTCTGCTTTTTTTTTTTCTTCCTTTTTTTTGGAGACAGGCTATGTACCACATCCAGCTGATTTTGGTTTTGAAGAGACATGTCTTGGTATTACTTAAGCTCAGAGTAACCATGAACTCCAGGTCCTTTTACCTCAGGTTCCCAAGTGCTGGGATTACAGGCATACAACACTAGGCCTGGCATACTTTTTATTTTAAAAGTTTGAGTACAACCTGAATCTGTTAACACTGGTTTACTTTTAAATTTACATGTTTAGACATGAAACCCCTCTGGCTTTTTTTAGTGAATACTTTGAGAGATTTATTTATGCAGACCTCTTTTTGGGGATCACGCTTGGTTTTTTGTTGTTTTTTTGTTTTGGTTTGGTTTTTCAAAACAGGGTTTCTCTGTGTAGCCTTGACTGTTCTAGACTCTCTTTGTAGACTAAGCTAGTCTCGAACTTACAGAGATCGGCCTGCCTCTGCCTCCCTGAGTACTAGGATTACAGATGTGCAGCACTGTGCCTGGTGGGATCACTATGGTTAAACATACTTTTTTTCCTCTGAACCATTTGAAAGTGTGGTGGAGACATAATCTGTATGATCCTCAGGAGTTCTTTTCCCATACAACTACAGCACTGTTATATTCCAGAAACTTAACAATGGTGTCCTCTAATACAAACTTCCCAAACTCTGCAAAATTATCCACTGTGGCTCTGTTCTTTGTTTTTATCCAGAACCAAACATGCTGTGCTGGCTAATTTTATGTAAACTTGACATAGGCTAGAGTCATCTGAGAGATGGGAATTCCAACTAAGAACATGCTTCCATAGACTGGGCCACTGGGAAGCCGGTAGAGCATTTTCTTAGTGATTTATGTGGGAGGGCCCAGCCCACTGTGGGTGGGTTCATCCCCGGGCTAGTGATCCTGGGTTCATAAGAAAGCAGGTTAATCAAGTCATGATTAGCAAGCCAGTAGGCAGCACCCCTTCATGTCCTCTGCATCAGCTCCTGCCTCTAAGTTCCTGACCTGTTTGAATTCCAGTTCCGACCTCCCTTCAGTGATGGACTACGGATGTGGAAGTGTAAACCCTTTCTTCTCCAACTTGCTTTTGGGGATGGTGTTTCATCACAGCAATAACCCAAACTTTGACACATACATTCTATGTTTAGTTGTCCTGTTCCTTTCATTTCTGTTCATCTTAGAGTATCCACTAGAGTTTATTTTATATACTGACATTAAATGTTTTAATTTTATGTGTATGACTGTTTTGTCTGCATGTATGTCTATGCACTACATAGCTGCAACACCTCTAGAGGCCAGAATAAGGTGTCAGATCTCCTGGAATTGCAGTGAGAGATGGCTGTAAGCCATCATATGGATGCTAAGATTGAATCCAGGTCCCCTGGAAGAGTAGCCAGTGCTCTTAACTCCTGAGTCATCTTTCCAGCCTCGACCTTGACAGTTTTTGAAGTGTCCAGGCCAGCTTTCTAGTAGGATGTCCCACCACCTAGATACATGTAATTATATTTCCTTATAACTGAATTTAGGTTAAATTCTACAAAGAACTTGTGTTCTTTCATCTTCCACACTGAGTGGCACAGGTAGTCAGATGCCAGCCTATACTACCATTGCTCACAAGTGATTAACTCTTGATTTCCTTACCTGTACTTGGCAGACACAATTTATGTTGCCCCATTCAAATAACATACACACTGAAGACAATTAACATCCCTAAAAATACCCAGAGATTTGTGAATGGAAGGGAAACTTTAAAAACATATTTTTATTACAGTTATTTATTTATTGTATGTTGTTCTCTGATGCCGACATTTACACCATGGTATGGCATGTGCCCACACACATAGTAAATATAATTAGAATACATATTTTTGTTTGTTTGTTGTTTTTCAAGACACAGTTTCACTGTGTAGCTCTGGCTGTCCTGGAACTCAATCTATAGATCACACTGGCCTCGAACTCAGATTTGCCTGCCTCTGCCACCCAAGTGCTGGGATTAGAGTTGTGTGCCAGCAACATATGGCTGGAATTTTTTTTTTTTTTTAAGTAATGCATGTACATGCATTTGGTACTCAGATCAAACTCAATCAACTTTCTACCCAAGCAAAAAAGAATTAATTGGTTATTTTTAACAGATTCACTGGTTAGTTACAGAGGGAATTAAACTCCCTAGCTTGGATGGAATACAGATTAGAATAGTGTGATTTGACACAGAAATAGCACACTCTTTCAAGTAAATAGTTCCCTTCAAAATACCTCTCTAAAAATAATTGTTACTACTTCCTTCCTTCCAAATAAAACAAGAGAAAGAAAGAAAAATCACATTCCTATACAGAAATTCACTTCAGGGTAGTCCATACCTGTATGTTCCAAATCTGGAGCATTAAAGTGGAGCAACTATAAAAGCCCAGGTAGAGCAGGAAAAAATTCCCCTATCAGAGACATACTCAGGGTCATTCCTACTGGTGCCCCACCATTTTCCACCCCCAGCTCCTAAGTTTACAATGACTAATAATAATGCACCATGAGAGAAAAGGGGGAATCTGCAGACAAGAAAACCACCTCTAATTTTAGAAAGTTATCGTGGTCCTGGATTCTCAACACACATTACAACTATTTGAGAGGTTGGGTGTGGTGCTGCACACCTGTAATCCCAGCACTTGAGGGGCAGAGATAGGTGGATTTCTCTGAGTTTGAGGCTAGACTGGTCTACAAAAGTGAGTTCTAGAACATCCAGGGCTTGTTACACAGAGAAATTCTGCCTCAAAAACATACATACATACATACACACACACAACCCAAAAACCACATATCTGGAAAATGGTAAGGCCAGACTCCTACTCTAAGCCAAATCAATAAGAATATGAGGGAAGCTGAGGTGCACTAAATATTAGAAACCAGGAGCAGGAAGAGACAGCTTGCAAACACAAGCATGTATCAACACCATTCAGAGGGCTGTACATTCTATCACTGTGCCAAAGCTCCCAAGCATTTCAGTGAGGCCAATGATGCTGGAACCACACCAGACAGTGATGAAATGGAAATGCCATGGCTCTGAGGTTGAACAGTTTTAGGTTCCAATATCAGTGCTGAGATATTACTTGAATGCCTCAGTTTCTTTGTAATGTTCCCATTAGAATGAAAGTAATGTGTGTGTGCCAACAAGCACAGTGCCAGGCATAGCCCGGAGTTTAACCACAACATGACCCTTCTCTCCACTTCCTGAAGACACAGACTAGCAGAGGCTATACGCCAGCAGCTTCCTACAACTCCTCCAAGGTTGGCCTCATGGGGATGCTTGACTAACACTGCGCTCACCTGCTATGATGGAAAGACTTCAGCTTTGGCTGCAGCAGTACAAACAGCACCACGAGGAGAAGAATGAGTGCCACAGAGCTGGCAGTGGAAGCCACTATGGACAGTGCAGGAACCCCGAGTGATGTGTGGGTTTCTTTGTCTAAAAAACAAGTTATCACAAACATTTGGTACCCAGGAACATAAAATATGAGTTCTACAAATGATGTAGTCAAATATCCCCTGCATGGTACAACACAGAAACATTTAACAGCTGGGTCTTTTCAGGAAAATCTTTTCAAGTGGCCTATGTATGAATTATGTTCCTGGAAACATTTCCTTTTCCTGTCCCTCAAATAAAAGATCCCCACCCCCATGCCCTCACTCTAGCCTTTGAAGTACATCTGGTACCTAAACACATTTAACTCTAGAGTTCTTAAAAACACCAATAGTAAACTCAACTATTAAAAGGGCCACATTTTTCTACTGCCATCCCCAGGGATTGGGGATTTAGCTCAGTGGTAGAGCGCTTGCCTAGCAAGCGCAAGGCCCTGGGTTTGGTCCTCAGCACTGAAGGCGGGGGGTTGGGGGAGACAAAGTAACCATGTCCCCCCCCACACACAGCAGGGTATTTAAGAAGTGGGCAATAATAAGCTTCTGTCCTAAGACCCCCAGCCTTTCTGTAAACCCCATATTAGTTCCTACCCATAGCTGAGGTGTTAGGAATATATATACTCTGGTTTTAAAGCCCAAGTGTGAAGCACAGAGATGGCCATATGACACACATTTCCCTTTAGGACTTGCATTTCCTATCATGCAAGACAAGAGGAGGCAGGAAGGAAAAAGCACTCTGTACAGCAGGGCTGTAGCTCTATAACAAAATCGTCATTTTCTATTCAAGAGAGAAAATGAAATGGAAGAGATGCTGGGAAATGTATTAGAACTGTGTTCACTGCTCACTGTGTTAGCAGAACACAGCACCTGACTAGGCAAACAGAAATCTTCACATCAAAGGGATTTTACACAGCCAGGCAGATGCCTCAATAAAGATACAGAGACCCTTGACGGTTCAGTGGAATGCAATGTGACATGCACAAGCAAATCCAATGACTTCCACAAAGACATGGAATACCAAAGACAGAGTGCCCAAGAGGCTTAACACAGCCAAGGGAGCTCTTGAAAAAGCATGTGCCATTCCCCAGGAGCTAGGGAAAAAGCAGGACCCAGACAGCAGGACCCAGACAGCAGGACCCAGGGCCCTGTTTACTTGCAGACTGACCTTCATTGAGATGACAGCTAACCTCCATGGCTGGTTTCCACTCGCCATTCTTGCAGGTCAGGTATTTGTAGTCGCCCTTCAACATGTAGCCTTCTGCACATAGGTACTCGATGACACTGCCTGCTGTCAGGGGGTCTTTGCAGGGTCTGGGGTGGCAAATGTAGCCACCATTCTCTGGCTCTGGGGGCAGAGGGCACACTGCAAAGACAAAGGGAGATGGTACTACAATGAGCCTTTCCATGGACATCTTCTTTCAACAGCATGGCCCCAAAACATGAGGGGGCATAAAACTATCCTTGGGAAAGCCTGTTGAACTAGTATGGAATTCAAGTTTTCACTGACAGTGGGGGAATTGCACCAGCAATAGGTCAGTCTGTGTCTACAGCATTTCTCTCCTCCTCACTGGCCAGTAGACTCCAGAAAAGTTCTGTACTTTTAGACCTGATTCTAATAGTGCCAACTAACTGTGAATCAGACTGAGAGAGGATAAAGTAACGGCAATTCACCAGGGCAAGTGTTAGGATGTTTACTTCAGTTCCAGGAAGAACTCCCTGGTATAATCAAAGAATGAGTTTGGCTTCTGAGAAGATTTCAGAGAGCTTTCCTGGGAGGATTCCCAAGCCCTGTGCAATCCCCCCCCTTAGAAGGGGGGTTATTTATTTATTCTATGTGTATGAATGCTCTGACCGCATGTACACGTGCATGCCAGAAGAGGGCATCAGACCCCAGTACAGATGGTTGTGAGCCACCACATGGTTGCTTAGAATTGAACTCAGGACCTCTGAGAGAACAGACAGTGCTTTTAACCACTGAGCCATCTCTCCAGCCCATATGCACCTTCTCTTGTCTGCCAGGCTTCACTTCCTTTTCCCATAATAAATCCATCCTACATTTTTCCTCTAGGTATGACAATCTAGTTTTAACGTCATCTCTTAAAGTCTGTGAAAGTTATCTTATCTTCCTATAATGATAAGTATATTAAGCCCCACAAATGTGAAACAACTTTTAGCCAAGATTAGGGCATGGCGAAAGCCAATTTGGGGCCAAAGTCAGGTCCTCTGATTCTAACCCTGGGCTCTTCTTCCCATGATCGCTAATTCCTATCCCATATGCTGATTGGTTTGTACCAAGATCACCCCCCCCCATCCCCTGCCTTCAACTGGTCAACTAAAGAGAAGGCAAACAAGGTGTGGGTATGGTGGAACTGTGGTTTAGAATGCAGTTCTTAGGAAACGGAAAACTTTATTTCTATTGCACACAAATTGCAGAACTGAATCCAAGCCAGAAAGTCCAAGGTGGTGTGTCTAGCCACTCTTGATAAATCCATGGGTCCACTAAGAATCATTGGAAGTCTAGCCTGGGGAAGGCAGCATGATCAGCCACTCATGACTTCCACATTTCCAAATGTTTTACAAACACAAAACACAACAAAGATTTTTCCTAAGGAAATTTAGTTTTGCTGATTCTATGCCAGCCTATCCTCTATCATAGAGACATCTGTGTGGGAATTAGAATGGTTGTTTCCTCTGCTCACTTCCTCTAACAGGCTCAGAGTGACTGGGAATTACACAGGCATGACTAACTATCAGGATAAGGCCCTGGCTTCCTCCCATGTGAATGCCCCATGGATGACATTCTACATCTGTGCCCTTGCAGTCTTCCACCCTCTGACCCAAATGCTATTGGGTTGACATCAAGTCTAGCTGGGGAAAGGTTATCAAGTTATCACTACCGCAACAACTCCTCCCCCCCCCCCCACAAAAAAAAAAATAAAAAACCCTGCCCTCAGGCTGTACACACCCAGTGGTAGAAAACACACCATTTTCTTTTGTTTCATTATTTAAGTACATTTATAATTTTTCTTGGGCAGATGCTTGAACCAGGGACTTGTCCATGATAGCTAGACAAGCATTCTATCACTAAGACGTTCTGGAATTCACTTTCCCATTTATTTGTTCCTTTGGTAGAGGAATTGAGGATTCCAGGGCCTTATGCATAGTATAGTAGTATATGTTCCACTGAGCTACAGTTCCAGTCCAATACCCTTTTAAAAGCTGCTTATTTAAGCTGGGCATGGTGGTGTATGCTTGTAATCCAAGCACTCTGGGAGGCAAGGGAAGGAGGATCTCCATGAATTTGAGGCCAGCCTAGTCTACAAAATGAGTCCAGCACAGCCAAGGCTACACAGAGAAACCCTGTCTCAAAAAAACAAAAACAAAAACAAACAACAAAAAGTTGCTAATTTAAAAAGTTGTCAAAGGATCTAGAAGTCTGTCAGCAACTATGAAACTAGAAAATAAATCCAAATAGAGTCCCTATCCCCTTGAAGGATACACCTCTGATATCCCTACCACCCGCCTGGCTCAAAGTCCTGAACAGGAGAGAAGTTAATGCAAACATTTGTGTAGTTCCCTAAGCGGTGGCCAAGTCATTCAGAGAGCTGGCCAGCAAACAGCTGCTTTATTATTTCATTTCCCATCTTTTGTTCAGAATAGTAAAGCTCCTCAGACCTTCTGACTGACTCTTGGCTCTCTGCAGACTGTCTAACTGGTTCATTTCCTGGGCAAAATTATTGCTGAACATTCTGGCTAGCTCCTGAGAGGAGAAAGGACCCACATAGAATCAAACCAGTGTGCTTAGAAGAGGCTCTCAGGGAAAGGGCTAGGATTCTAGAGCCATGTCTACTATGCTGCACATTTTCTCCCTGTAAATCTCATAAATAGATAGGATCTCAGTATATATGTAGTATAAAGTTAAAAAGTAAAGTGTACAGAGAGAAGCCAGATGTCTTTTGCTCTAGCCACAGCTCTCTCTAAAGATACTCAGCACGTAATTTTTCCTTATCCTACTAAAAGATCTCCACATGAGGCTTATTCTAGTATGTCCCAAAGACTGGGAATCCTGCTACAAAAGAGGAGCTCCGAGTAGCAGCTTGGGTAGAGGCTCAGGGCAACTCTGGGGGAGATGTGCTTCAGATGATGCTTGTTTTCACCAGAAAGGTGGGGGTAACGCAATGCACTCATTGAAGCAAATGCAGTAAGACCGGAGAATGTAAGTTAAGCCCAGACAGTCTTATGTACCTCAGTTTAGTGGAGCTGATTAGCAAAAACCAGAGAACACCTTGATTCACAATAAGAGAAGCTTATTATATATTTAAGGCCCTTTATAAAAAGAGATGAATCTGATCTATGGTGGACCAGATTATTTCATTAGTACAAAAAAATAAACTTGGTATAAAATTATTTTGTGTTTATCTATGAAGTCACTCAAAGAAAGCAAACTGAAATACAGAAGATTCAGCATCAAGACTTTTAGACCCAGGTTCAAGAAAATAAAAAGGCACACACCTTTAATCCCAATGCTCAGAGAGGCAGAGGCAGGCAGATCGCTATGAATTCAAGGCCTACAAAGCAAGGCCAGGACAGCTAAGGTTACACACAAAAATTCCCTGTCTCAAAAAACCAAACCAAAACAAGGAAGGAAGGAAGGACGGGAGGGAGGAGGAAGGGAAGGAGGGAGAAAGAGAGAGACAGAGAGAGAGAGAGAGAGAGAGAGAGAGAGAAAAGGAAGGGAAAGAAAGAGAGAAAGAAAGAAAGAAAGGAAAGGAAAGGAAGGAAGGAAGGAAGGAAGGAAGGAAGGAAGAAAAGCCTATGGGGAATATGACCACAGGCTGGGGCTAAAGCATAGGCCTTCAGAAGCTTGGGTTTAACAGGAAGGGGAAGAACATCAGGAAAACCAAACCCCACAATGCAAATGAACCACCCAACAACTTCTAGGAGCCAGGTCCTGGCCAGGAGTCTAACAATCTATACTTTAGAGAAGTTCTCTTGGACAATTCCTCATTTAAAGAGGGCATTTGTTCTTAACAGTGGGAAGATAATGAACTCATCTGATTTGGCAATACCACTAATTTTTTTAAGAGGGATAGAAAGCCAGATGACTGCACAGGGGAAACTTTCATTCTCCTAGCTTCTACCATCTCCCACAGATACCTAGGCCCCCAGTGTTAAAAGCCCTGTTCCCTCTGAGACTCAACAGCAACACGCAGCTCTACAGACTTTGAGTGAAGTAATACCTGAAACTGTCTTGTACCACGCCAAGTATGTGACAGCTACTGATAATTCTTTATGTTTACTTTCATTTAGCCAAGTATGCCCTCAACAGAAGGGCTAACCCATTAGGAGGCAATGTCTCCACAAGGAATCAATATACTGTAAGTATTCAGTGACCAACTAGCCAGTCACAGTGGAAACACAAATTAGAGAGAAATGACCCAGCTGAAGTTTCCACTTCAGGGTCACCTTGGCCTAACACATACCTCAGAAAGCAACAAGAATAACCATAGCCCTTCTAACTGTCTTGCTTTTTTTTTTTTTTTTTTTTTTTGGTAACAGCTCAACAAGCAAAGTAGAACTCCAGGAAAGGCCTTTGGGGTAAACAGAACTATTTGTTCTTGAACCCCTTCAAAGCAAGTAAAGAGCTATAGAAAACAGGGTTATGTAGACCCCAGTCTCTAAGGGATTGCAGATGAGTAGGGCAGGCATACACTTAAATATCTAGGTGTACTCTCAAAAGACTCAACAAAAGAGGCTTCTGGTTAACAGCCACCAAAAAAAAGACTACACTGTCAAAGCCAGGAGTTTAACAAACTGTGCTAAGTGTTCACTCACAAGTCTGAAATAATACAGTTTCAGACTAAAATCAGTGTGTTAGCATTTGTGATACAAACAAGTACAAATAGGTGTTTAGGGGACTGGAGAAATGGCTCAGTACTTAAGAGCAATGGCTGATTTTCTAGAGGATCAGAGTTCGACTGCCAGCACCACATGACGTCTCACAATCACCTATAATTCTAGTTCTAAGAGACACAATATCTTCTTCTGGCCTCTACAGATACTGCATGCATGTGATGTACAAACATACATGCAGGCAAAATACTAACATAAAATAAATACATAAGTAAATATCAATCTTAAAATAATGACAGTGCTGAAAGATGGCCAGAGAGAAAATCTTCTGGGGACTGAGAGAAGGGAAGGGCAGAGAAAGAGGGTCCTAGGCTCAAACATCAATTCTAAAGAGGTGGTTATTTGAGCAGGACCGAAGTAGTACTATAAATGTCCTACTGGGCAATAATTCTAACCAACAGTTAGAGGGTGTCCTTTCCACCTGTGTCTTTAGGAGGGCTATAAACATCA